TTTTTTTTTTTTTTTCAATAGCTTGGACATATTATGTCAAATTCTTGAATTCATTTCCAAGAAAGCAAACGGGTTTGTTTTCTATTGTATTTGTCTTAGCTCTTACTCCATACTTCTGATTCGAATGTGTTGATACATAAGTAATGTTTTGGTGGTGTTAGAATGTCAAAAATGGGTTATAAATCCATGTTCCTGTGGTTCTTGATATCGTCTGCGCTGTTCATATTATCATGGTTTGTGGTGCTGAGATCAACCGGCTTGTCGCGTTCCGTTGATTTTGCTATATTGCCGAATTCCAAGCTCCATGAAATTCTAGCGAATGACAATACCGATAAAACCCGGAGTATAGGTGGGGACTCGAATGCGAATTCAAGAAAATGTTATTCGAATGATGTGCCGATGCCCATTCTCAAGGTTTACATGTATGATTTGCCTTCGGAATTTCATTTCGATCAGTTGGGCTGGAAAAATTCCGGCAAGGGTGTTTGGCCCGATATTCGTGTAGAGGTTCCTGAATATCCAGGTGGGCTGAACTTGCAGCATAGCATTGAGTACTGGTTGACTTTAGATCTCCTGAGCTCGGAATTCGCTGATAACATGAAAGGGCGTAGTGCAGTACGAGTAAAGAATGCTATTGAAGCCGATGTTATTTTTGTTCCCTTTTTTTCTTCCATAAGCTATAATCGGGGCTCGAAGGTGAAGCCCGGCCAGATGAGGAGTACTAATGTTGTATTACAAGAGAAATTGGTCAAATATTTGATTGCCCAAGAGGAATGGAAGAAGACTGGCGGAAAAAATCATGTGATTGTTGCTCATCATCCAAATAGTCTTCTGGATGCAAGAATGAAGCTATGGCCTGCGATGTTCATTCTATCGGATTTTGGGAGGTATCCTCCAAACATAGCAAATGTCGAGAAAGACGTTATTGCCCCTTACAGGCATGTTATTAGGAGCTACGTGAACGACTCGTCTGATTTTGATAGCCGGCCAACCTTACTCTATTTCCAGGGAGCTATATATAGAAAAGATGTAAGTCGTCATTTTCATTTATTTGGTGATGATTGTTGAATTCTGCATGCATTTAGTATTTCAACCTAACTACTGTACTGTGGGGTTAAGTTGGTTATGCCTTAAATTTAACATTTGTTGCCTACTTGTGAGCCAACACGTTTTTAGTCTTTCAATGGCCACATAGCAAAGTTTCCTAAGCAAAATAGATTGTCTAGAAATTTGATGATCAGTATTGGACGTGGTTATAAATCAGTCGTGCTGTTATTTTATTTTCTTATGGCAATGTTGTATATTATATGTGTGTGTGCTGAACGCGCATGACCAACAATATGCTACGATTGATGGTGTCTGAAAGCGTTGTTTGTAAAAGACAAAGTATGTGTATTAGGAATGCAAAGTGGAAAGATTTTTGTCTTTTCGGACTTGGGGAGTTTATGAGGAAACATTAATTGTCTAAAAGAAGATGCTATGATCCATATTTTAGTTATTTATCTCATATTGGAGTAATTGGTAACGGTTGGGATTATTTCAGACTTGTATTTTGAACGTAAAACGAACATTACTTTTCCTGATAATTCAAAAGACATCTCAAGTCTAGATATCTCGCGTAGCACTCTGTTCCCACGGGCAAGATCTACATAGTTCCTTAAAACCACAGCTTTAAAAGAGCATTCTTATGTGCACATAAGGTTACATTGACTGTTTAGATAGAAAATTGAGGCAAAAATTCTGAAGTTGTCTTTAATATTCTGTCTTTCTCGTTCTTCTCAAAGTTGAATGTTGACTTAGCCTCTTAGGTGTGTAATCTTTCCATCTAGTTACCTGTATATGCTGTGACGCAAAGGGTCAAGTTGTTTTTGTAGTGTTTAATTCACTGAAATAAACCTGTATGCATGCAGATCCTGTTGTATAAGCATGGATGAATAAAAACTCTGCTTGTTCGTCTTATTCGCAATGGCTCTGTACCCTATTTATGATTTTAAATAATTTTGTTCAGAATTCTGTTTGAGCCTCAGCTTTTATTTTCTGCTAGTCCCTGTAAACACAATGAATTGTTCCAGACTGTTGATTATTATTTTTAAAAAATCTTTCAGGAATTTGATTCCTTAACTTGCATATTATTGCATTCATCTTTTTTACAAGTTTTCTTTCCGACCAGACTTGAAATATATCGATGAACCTGTGATGCGAACAGCGTGAATGGATGAGTTGGTGATAAAGTCATTCTTTTCCTGTAGTTTGTTGCTCTGTGCTGGTAAAATTGAACCGTACAGTTGTTTAACATGAAAGACATATTCTGTTAATATATGCTGTATCACGGTTAACTTTATGTAAACTATTATAATTTAGGTTAAGCTTTATTACACGAAGCTCCACTAATCAGATCTATAAGCACAACATTTATGTTCGATCATATATCTATTTTTGTGTTTTTCATGGTAGGGCGGAATAATCCGGCAAGAGCTATACTACATGCTACGAAACGAGTCGGACGTGCATTTCTCGTTCGGCACCTTTCAGAAAGACGGGGTCCACCGGGCCTCCAAAGGCATGCGGTCTTCCAAATTCTGCCTCAACATAGCTGGGGACACCCCTTCCTCTAACCGACTTTTCGATGCCATTGCCAGTCACTGTGTGCCAGTCATCATAAGCGACGAAATCGAGCTTCCCTATGAAGACGTGCTCGACTACTCACAATTCTGCGTGTTTGTCCGCACTTCGGACGCCCTAAAAAAAGATTTCCTGCTCAACCTAATAAGGAGTGTAGGGAGAGAAGAGTGGGCAAGAATGTGGAGTCGGCTGAAAGAGATTGAACAATTTTACGAGTTTCAGTACCCTTCACGAGAAAATGACGCGGTTCAGATGATCTGGCAGGCGGTTTATAGGAAGGTTTTTGCAGTCAGGAGAGAAATTCATAGAGCTCGGCGGTTTTCACGGACGGATTTGGTGGCATGAGAAAGTAGTTTGATTATCGATTAGTTCATTTTCTTCTAAACTCTCTGACTGTGATCGATTTTGTTGGGTTTTTTGACAACAAGTGTTTTAGATGTATTTTACATGGGCAAAAGATTTGCTAGAACCAGGTAATTCATTGTTAGTAAGTTATGTTTTACTTTGAAATTTAAAGCTGTACATCACACTGCATAACTTAAATTACAGTCTTCCTATTTTTATTAGCGTGCTTTGAGAGATATTTTCTCACATTTTCATTCAATTCTTAATACTCTTCAACTATGAAGAAATTATTTCTTCTTGACCTAAATCACCTGAATTTAGAGGCTTGAAGCTACACATTGACTAAAAATAAAATAGAAGCTTTCTAATTGAAGTTAATGTAACGGAAATTCTATGGAGTCATCATATGGTTTTCGTATGGAATCATCTATTTTTTAATATATTGATATATGTCCAAAGTGTATTTATTGTAGGACATGTGTCAATACACTATTTTAGAAAATATATGGATGACTTTATAAATCGTGTCATCCGATGACTCCGTAGCAAAACTGGGTAGCGTAATATTTCTGACAAATTTAAATTTCCTCATTAACCTTTAGTTATATATATCCCACAAAGAGTATGAACAAAAATGTCATCATATTATATTAACTGAAATAGAACTAAGACGAGTAAGAACTAAAATGTGATCATATTGTATTAATTCATCTGAACGCATATCTAAATAGCAAATAAATTACTAATTATAGATAATAACAAGCTATTTTAGCAGAAACTCGACATATTGTATATTCAATAAAAAAAAAAGCTGTTCGACTAAATCTAATTAGTGGGCAATCAAAAATATGCTACTTAGATTAATGCATTAGCTACATTAATGCCAAAAAAAAAAAATAAAAAAATAAAAAAATAGATTAATGTTTTGTATATATTTGTGTTTATTTTTTCATGATTTCTGAGGTGAGTCGAGATCACTTGGGCTCATTTATGTGTTCATCCGGTCCATTTTCGTTCGTTACTCGTATTTTTTGTCTTTGTTTTGTGTTGTTTGTATCTTTTCATATTCTTGTGTTTTCATTGGTGTTTTTTAGGTTCATTAAATCGTATCCATGATGAAGAATTGAGCCCGAGTCTGGAACATATGAGTCATAGCCAAGCACTTATCATGGCCATCAATTTCTGAGCATGTCGTCAAGTCTCCATTTTTGTGTCCTTTACAATGAGCATTTTCCGAGGAAGTTATTTGATTGTCGAGATGAACCGATTCATTGTTGAGAAGTTCTACCACCGAGCCGCAGAGGATCATCTCCCAGCCCATGGGCGCGTCGCCCGAGCCATTTCCCAACCCATCACCGTGACCTCAGCGCGAGGCCTGCTTATCGTCGAGGGAACTCCGCGCACATAGCGGCACACGCCCGGTCATCGCTCGCACAATTTGCACACCCGCAGTCGATTGCCGCAGAAGCCTATATTGCTCGCGCGTCGTTTGCGTCAGCTCGCCATCGCTCACGCGCAACACCCGCACACCTGCAGTCGGTTACCTGTAATGCACGCCTGCAACTTGCCCGCTAGACTCATGTCCTCTGTCCTCTTGTCGATCCTATGACCATCATGTCTCCAGGTCGAGTTTCTTCCAGGCCAAGGGCCTTAGCTCGACCTATATCACTACAAAAAAAAAAACTACAATTCCAATGAAAAATTCCAACGGCAAAAATTTTCGTTGGAAATTCTGATGAATATTCCAACAAACTTAATTTTATGTTGGAATAAGTGTTGGATAGTTGAGGATATCCAACGGGTTTTTTCCGTTGGAATAGCTGTAGGAATTTATTTCCATAGGATTTTCTGTTGGATATTTGCTATTCCAACCGCCGTTTTTCCAATGGATTTTTATACGTAGGAATATCCGTTGGAATATAAATATAAAAAATTCCAAAGAAAAATTTTCGTTGGAATGTAAGAGTTTTTTTTTTTGTAGTGTATGCGTCTCCATTGACCTGATGTCTCTCTCGAATTGACCTACCGGTTCAATCAGTTATGTTGGCTCGTTTCTCGGGTCAAGTCAACCCAGTGTGGTATCCCAGATCACTATCCATTTAAATTATTAATGAAGAAATAAAAATTAAAATATTTATAATGATAAATCAACCGCTTGTCGAATTGTCATGTGAAATATTAGATTAAAAATAAAATTTTAATATATATAATATACATTATTATGAATTTTAAAAAACACATAATTTTATGTAACTAAAAATTTGCAAAAAAATTTACTTTAAAATAATATATACTATATTAGTTTTAAATCAGATGTCAATTAATAATATTTGCTACTATTATTGACTTTAACACCACTTATTTATAATATATTTGTAATCTATATACATATAAAAAAATTTGATATTTACCTGTAATAGAAACTGAAATCCTGCCAAAACATTTCATTTTTACTTTTATTAGTAACTTTTTTTAAAAAAATTACAAATGGGTGGCCATTTTTTAAATTTAAATTTATAAAAATTAATTTAAAATATGTACAAAATCTTACACCTAAATAGCTGTCACATGCTTTGTCCATAATTCTATAATCAGTGGAGCTAAATTTTGAAGCATAGTATATAGCAACGAATTTCCTTAAACTTAAACCAATCAAAATTTTAATTAAAAATGACTTTTTTAAGTACAATCTGTACATGTAAATTGATTCTTACCAATTACCCTAATCTGTTTTTCCATTTTTTTTTTTTTCGTACAACGAAGGAGGCC